GTCCTCAGAACTCATCTTAATGCTCCCTATTTGAGATTGAACAACCATATGAGCGTAACTGTTGCACTGTGGAAACCATCAGCTCATGTCAACAGATGCTTTTCTTCACCACTCATGCACATACTGTAACCGGGCGTGCCTTTTTAAAATGAGACAACAGCAGCATTAAAGCCGTGCAATAATGTATTTTTCTTGACGTAGTGATAGGATATTGGCACATTAAAGATTAGGTGGCTAGCCATCATGATGTAAATTAAGTTCTTATTGTCCAGAAGGTGCCTAACAATCATAATATTTTAGTATCAAATTAATCCAGTAATAGCCTTCTGAAGCTTGGGTGCATCAGGAAAAGGAACAACCAATTGTTAATTCGGCATTCTTTAAATGGTATTAATTTGTGAAATATTAAAACAAATATAGGTTGTAGGCATGACAAAAAAAGGGGGGGGGGGTTTAAGTTGAAAACCACAGCTAACCCAGTGACTCTTCCTGTTTACATCAACCGAAGCAACATGCCTGACCTAAACAAAACATTCCAAACATCTCGTATTAAATTAGTGTTCTTTTTTAAAGATTTGTATTTGGTCTTTTTTATACATGTTATATGGCATTCACGGTAACCACTTGCTACTGAATTTAAATGTGTTTTTACTTTGGTGGTTCTTTAATTGCCTTTAGCCTTGCTATGCCAAATGTAATCAACACAAAACAAATGGTCCCATTATTCCGTACATATGGTAAGGGTTGTAGGTTCTGCTGACGGGACAAAGGCTATTGTTTAGTCGGGAAATGCTGTCTGTAGGATTTAAATGATGTGAATTAACTGAATGAAATAATATTTATAGAAGTGAACCGTTACATCACACTGCTGCTCATATGCACACAGACCCCAGGGATGCTATTACAATTCCTCAGTCTTGCTGAAAGAAGCACACATGTTCTGCACAGAAAGTATTCCTCTGAATGCCTGGCTCTTAACCCAGCCATTTGTTTTCCTTTTATATTTTGCATGTGCATTCATTTAATGCCCTTGCCCTTTCCTGTGATCGCGGACAGGCATCGATTAGCTTGCACTAACAGCTAGCGGCTCCTTAGAGGGTTACTGGAAAGGAGATGCTCATGTGTTCGGCCATTTTAGACCCTGTTTGTCTGCTAGTCTCAGGTGAATGGTGCTAGCTTTTAGTCCCCATCTGGTGCTCAGAGACCTCCTAACAACCTAATTACTGAGTGGTATCTTTTCTTCCCTAGCTGGATTATAGACCCCATGTCGAACACTGGATTACAAAATGTCTGCCGGCTACAACCAGCTGAGTGATGTTCTTTAGATAGCAGGATGTGGTTAGTTAACTGGTGCCCAACCCGCCTTGAAATGGAAAGCTCCCGTGGAGTGCCAGCATCATGTCAGTACTATATTCTGCGGAACAGGAACTGAAAATGCAAAGCAGTGGCATTTTGGACAAATAAACATTTGAACTGTTATACCACCCAGCAGCTCGTGTCTGTTCACTGTACATTGGGTTGTGAGTGAATGTCTCTAACTTTAGAGATACACAGAGATTCTCCTACATTGCCGTTCCCACGCTGATTTGCATGTCATCCTTTTGTGCAATGGATGTTTAGCCTCATGATGACAGGGTAGTGATACAACAATCCTTTATGTTGCTCTTTTACTGATAGTGTAGAATTCATGCTTGCAGACCTTGTTTTAGTGTTACCTGGTATGCAGCAAATCAATGCTGTGTCACCAATAGTAATGCTAAAATATTTGTCTTTTTTTCTTCACTACAATGTTTTTAATATTCAAATTTTGGAAGTCTTGAAAAGGTTTTATTGCACTAAAAGTTGTTTCTGGTATTGTTTAGGGAGTCTGGTATGATAAAATTATTACTTGAGTAACAGATCACTTTTGCACATTTTAGGGTTTTTAAAGGATTAGAAAATCAGTTTTATAAATAGTTGTCATCAACATTTACAGTGTGTTTTTTAAAGTGCATTTTAATAATTCTATGTAGTATCTACAGAGTCATAATAGAGGATGCTCAAGGCGAGAGCGCACTGTGCTGCATCCTCCCCTTCTGTGCCAAGTTGCGGTTGTTATGGCAACCAGATTATGGTCCTATACCTGTTGCCATGGTTGAGAAAGACGGAGTGATGACGTTCAATAGGCATCAGAGTGAGTCTCCCATTTTAAGTCCGGTATGTGACACTAGTGGAAATATATACTATTTATGGAACACGGAGGTATTCCTCATTGACATGTTAATGTGTGACTATTATATTATACTATCTCTGCTCACATACATTCTGCTTGTAAGTGTGATGTGCAGGAGTGTAAAGGGAGCAAAGGGACTGATATACAGTCGAGATAAATTAGGTGAATCATGCTGGAAGATATTGATAGAGATGAGATAGACCTTTAATGTCCCCATAGGGTAATCTTTTCTGGATTCGGTCCTGCTGTTCAACAGTAGATACAATCTTCAATAAAACTACCCAGAGTCCATGTAACTCTTTAGTTTTCACATACCTGTAGGGGGAATCCTGTTGGCTGCACTTACATTCACCTCATTCTTCCTCGGTCCACACCATTTTCATAATTAAAGTAAGTTTTCATGCAAAATGTGCAAAATAAATGAGTTTTTAGACTCTCAAAGAGATTTTCTGCTGCTATAACTGTTTAGTTTTGGGGTTTTACGCAGCGTCCACACGGCGGCTAGCATCTTACATGAGAGACACACTCTAATGATGCACTGACAGGACCACTTGGGTGAGGCATCTATCTGTTCCGAGAGCAATGGAGTAGATATTCATGCCACATCGTGAGCATTATTCACCTTTAATAGACGAGTAGTCTCCCACTAGCTGCTATCATGTAGCTTAACTGTGCGTTTAGGTACATTCTTAATCCACTACATCCACCAAGTTCTCCGGTGAGAGACTATATCGGAACCATGGTCTGAACCAGGGAACAAAGCTTTCATATTTGTTTTTTGCTTTGTTATTTGTTTTAAACAGCGGATTCCCAGTAAAGCCAGTTCCTCAATGTCAGTCCACTGGCCTGTCATTGGCATCCCACTGTCTTTTTGCCCACACGGCACTCATAATCTTTCTGTTTTTACTGCTAAGTTGCCTCCTTAACAGTGAATTTGACTGACACTGAATGACTCCAAACTAGATTACCTCTTCTTTAATAGCCAATGTAGAATAGATTGTTCCAGGAAAGTAGAAGTGGCGCACTGGTAACTTAAATCCTGCCTTCGTTACTTCATTCCCTGGCTCCAATTTCACATTTGGAGGCCAGTCAAAGGTGAAAATGAGCTTTATTTAGCCACCTGTCTTGCTGTATCCTCTTCCAGTGCCCAATATGGCCGCTGTGGCCCCACACCTTAACCTGTGTGAAGATTGTAGGGGGTACAAAGTCATGCATTGTTTTTTACCTGTGCTATTGTAGCTACCCTATTTAGGGCAATGGCTTCTCTACAACCATCACATATTTAGCATCAAGCAGTTAGTGTTCTGGTTTCTGAGGACACGCTGTGCTTTTTCTAACAGCATGTGACCTGTGGAGGGTGATATACAATCCCTGTCTCTCCACATCTCCTGCATTATTGATACGTTAGCTGAAATCCTCTGAACACATAAGGCACTCAGCCTAGGACATCTTGATGCTAAAGCCTCTCAAGCACACTCATATCGAGGAGCCAGACCTGGCTTTTATTTGCCCATTTGCAAAGAACTGCATTTGCATTAAACAAAGACAATTACTGCATTCTGGCTCACATTGGAGGGTTGGTTGACAATAGACAAAATGCACTATAAATGCGTAGTTTAAATCGTCTTTTCTTTTTACAAACTCTGGTTTCGATTGTTGCTCTGTTTGGAGTATTGCTAGGCCCTCAAGCACACCCATCAGACCCAAATACATATTTTTTTACTATCCTCTATATTACTCCTTTCTATTCTGTACAGCCTGAATGAACTCTCTGCCCTGGCCCTTTGATGCAAGGCAGCTACAGTCAATAGGTGCATTTTGAAAAACTTTGGTATGGGTATCTTAAAATATCCTTCAGTAATTGCCTTAATCCCCTCCTGTACATATTCAGTGCCGAGTGTATCAGGTTTGAACACTACTCCCAGGGGTAACAGCAAGCGAGGTTGAGTGGGATGACATGCCAGGCATGGCTGCAGATTCTTGTTCATTAAGAAATGTGTGTGTGGCCATAGGGACCGGCTGGGGGTAGTGCGGACATTCAGTGTCAGTCATCATGCCTTTAGCAGATAGAACAGCTGATGGTGGTATAATGACACATGTTTTTATTCTTTAAACTATGCATTTGTCTTCACACACTGGTTAAAGATGGCGTGTTTGGAAAGGTTGACACAACAGTTGCAGTTCTCAAAAAGGCCAGTGGCTCATGACTTTCTGTGTAGAATATATAATGGTTAGTGATGTGAACATCTGATCTGAACAGTATCTTTGAAGACCCACTATTTGCCAACCAGGATAACAATAAATACTATTTTTAATTAAGGTCCATTTAAACTGAAATGTAATTTTTTGTTGTTTTTTTAATGAATAATAATAATAATAATCAATTTAAATGAGCAATGGGAGTTTGATTAGATGTTTGAATTTTAAGTTGACTCAACTATTCCAAGGGTGAGACAAATCGAGTTTACTGGCAATAGCAACTGAATGTTCCAGAACAACACAATCACAAGGCCAGGTACCTCGTGTTTCAAAGACTATTTGGTTGAACTGTCCCTGCCATATTTCAAATTCAAACATTACTACACAGAAGCAACTTTTGTTAAATACTATATTGTTGTCGAAGGGATTGAATCAAAATCCTAATTGAGTCATTCAAACGTGACATGTGATATATAAATTAACTTCATTAGAACTTAAGATAAGCACATGGGATTAGTTGTTTTTTTCCATATAGACATTAAAACCAGATGTTATGGACCACCTTACTAATTTTGTACTCCCCCCACAGCTATTCTCAACCCCAAACAACCAAAGGAACCAGCAAAGACCTTCAGTTTTGATTACTCATACTGGTCGCACACTACGGTAAGTTTTCTTTGTTCCTTAGTCCAGACTAATAAACAGTGCAAGAAAAAAGAACCTTATTGATATGTTGTCAGTTTGGAACACAAGCATATTGAAATTCTATACATTTAAGCCCTTTATCCATCTTTCCCACAGCCGGAAGACCCCAGCTTTGCATCACAGAACCGTGTGTTCAATGATATTGGCAAAGAAATGCTGGCCCACGCGTTTGAGGGCTACAACGTCTGCATCTTCGCTTATGGCCAGACAGGATCGGGCAAATCCTACACCATGATGGGCCGGCAGGACGAGGGGCAGGAAGGAATCATTCCCATGGTTTGTTCTACAATACATCATACAATACATAGCAGATATTAAGAGACTTTGCCCACTATGTTTTACTTACTTCTCTGCCAGCGATTATTCGATTTTTCGAATATTCGTTACAGTCTCCATAATCGAAAATAATTTTTTAAAATTCGATTTTATTTATATATTTTTTTATTATTATTTATGTTTTTCATTTTTTTCCTGGCTTAGTTTCAACCAAAATATAGACTAATGCTAATAATAGCAATAGTATTAATAATTGTAAATGGCCATTGGTCACACCACCAGTTTGTTTTACTGTAAACTTGGAGGAAGCCAGCAGCGCAGACTGCTGCACTCTGCGACCTCGCAAGACATGGCTCTTTGTCTCTGCACTGTTTTTCGCTGCTAGCCGCCAGCTCAGCTACCGCCATATTTAGAGCCGTGTGCAGTGCTTTGCTCTGTATTTAGCATTGGATGGAACCCTTTCAGTGTTTTATCTGCTGAGGCTCTCTATATCGGATTGTGTGATGTTTAATTGCTAAATGATCTGCTATAAATCCAAATAAGTTGTTTGTATCTGTTGGTCCACTGATCTCTTCTTCCTTTCACCTCCCCACATCCTGTTCATGTGCGCTAAACATTTCTTTCTCTGCCCCTCAGCTTTGTGAAGATCTATTCTTTAAAATCAATGATGAGGACAACAAAGAGGAGCTCGCCTACTCAGTAGAGGTGAGCCTCGGACTGCTTTGACATCTGTGATCCGTGCTTTTAGCCCCCGCCTCATTCCTAGCCTTCTCATAACAATATATCGGGTTGAATTCATACATTAATCACATATTCAAAAACGCTGGGTTACCTCGGCACATTCCTTCAGATGATTTTGTTAAATTGTACACTTTTTACTCAAACTGGAAAACAGTTGAAGGTTGTAAGTCTCAAAAGACAATCTGATGTAAAATAATTATAATCAAAGAAATCAATTACTGAGGCCGGCACGAATATAGATATATTTTTAACTGCAGTATAATAGATTATATTGAGCTTCATATTACTGCTTTATGTCATTTCAGTGGCACATGAACTCATAATCTGTTACTTTTGCAATATTGTATAGGTCAGTTACATGGAGATCTACTGTGAGCGGGTGCGAGATTTGCTTAACCCCAAGAACAAGGCGAATTTACGAGTACGAGAGCACCCTTTACTGGGTCCCTACGTGGAGGACCTGTCCAAGCTAGCTGTCACCTCCTACACAGACATCGCTGACCTCATGGATGCAGGCAACAAGGCCAGGTGAGCCCCGGGATCATGCTGTCATCATGGGAAGAAGGGGGGGCGTTATAGTGGTGAAGAGGTGATTACCCACATGCTCAGAAGGATGAGTTTAATAAGGAAATGTTCTTATCACATAGATTTGTATAGTGTCAGTGTTGATCAAAGAACAGCTAGTTATATTTATGGGAGTATAGCTTGACCTGGATTGCTGAGATTCTACATAGAGCTAGTGAGTGTTTCTCATTTAAATGAGTGCATGTGATGTATATGTGTGTGTGTCGGTTTTAGTGTGTGTGCGTGTGTTACGAGAGCTCCTGTGGGGAGGAGTGAACTCTCCCTTAATCTTCCTGTGCTGCCTCAGGCAGCTTATTTCTTACGTGAAAAGCCTGTATCTCCCCTGTGCCTGTCCCTCTCAATGCGCCTTGTGAATTTCTGTTTGGTGCCCATATAATATTATCCACCTCCGCTATACAAAGTAATCCCTAGGACTCAATTCCCCCTAATAGGTGTAAAACCCTGTAATGATAGCTCCATTAATAAAGCTATCAAGAACATGAATTTAGCATTATTATCATTGAATAATTCCTATTTAAATGCTCAGAAAAATGTGTTTTCACCCATTATTTCCTAACTATGGCCTGTTTGCTAACCTACAGAACCGTGGCTGCCACCAACATGAATGAGACCAGCAGCCGGTCACACGCTGTTTTCACCATCGTCTTCACACAGAAGAAACATGACAGTGAATCAGATCTCTCCACAGAGAAGGTCAGAGGAGACTGGAACGACATTTTCTGATTTCAAATAATATCATTAACTGTTGTCGCTTTACCATGTTTGTAAACTAAAACTGTCTTTTATCCTGTGCTGTTGGGAGTGCATTCCTTTATAACGTGTTTTACCTGCAGCCCTGTTATTTGGTTTGCGCCTTTGATTTAGTCTAAGATGTCTCCTATGGTCCTCTTGATCGCCATTTTAGATTTGACTCCTGGCATTTCCTCTGACTGCAGCAGAGACAAAGACCAGTGTGTTATTGTTAACACAATGCCCATTGTGTTTAGCCACTCCATCAGATTTAACTTCCTTGCTGCATCTCACGTGACAGTTATGTCTAAATGTTTAGAATAGTATATTCTTTATTTTCCTTTCTACTATTTGAACCTTTTTTGAACATATACGCTTTGTAATTGGAAGTCAGTCCTTTCAGTTTTTGATATAATATTCTCATCCTCTCACACTTAGTCATAATTCCAATGTCAATTATTCATGAGCTTGATTCATCTAAAAATGTATCTACTTCCTTTTCAGGTCAGTAAAATCAGTCTGGTAGACTTGGCAGGAAGTGAACGAGCAGATTCCACTGGAGCTACAGGTACCAGGCTAAAGGTAAGACTCCCATCATCAGAAAACATTTAGCAAACTGTTGGCTAGTATTTCACTGATGGTTGTTAAATCAGATTTTTAAATCTGTGATTGCAGGAGGGAGCCAACATCAACAAATCCCTCACCACGTTAGGAAAGGTTATCTCCGCCCTGGCTGAAGTGGTGAGTGTTGTATGCCTGTTTCTGTTCATTTCTGTCTTTTCTTACCTTTTTCCTACTTTCAGCCTTTCCTCTACAACTCGACCCTGTCTTCTCAAGGACTTAATGTACGAGCCTGGCATGCTGTAATGTCTGCCCTTCTGTTTTCTCTCCTCCTGTCCTTGTAATGCTTGCTCACAAAGGATAACTCTACCAGCAAGGTAAACCGTTCGACAGCTTAACCAGTAACCTCTGAATCCTCCCAATGAGGCAGATTTGACAGCCTTTTGCAATGTGCAATGCTGAAGTTGCTGCACAGTGTTCTGTCAGAACCATTTTATTAAGTGTTTTAGGAAGTGCTTTGCTTTAAGGCGCATCGCAGTGATAACTCCACAAGCCTTTCACCAGAGCAAAAGTTAATCAAATCAGGCCTCTACTCATTTTACCCAACGTCTTTTCCATCACATATGAGGTGTTTATTATTTTACAACATAATAGTGTTCAGTCTTAACTGCCGTCCATCATTTTCGTCGTAAGTCTTACATAAGTTATACGTTTTCTTTCTGCCTACTAACTTAATATGTGTTCACTGCAGAGCAAGAAGAAGAAGAAGACTGACTTCATCCCGTACAGAGACTCTGTTTTGACATGGCTTCTGAGGGAGAACCTAGGTATGCATATTAATATCACCTGCTAAATATCCTTTACAAATGGAGTATGATGGAGTTTGTAAACTGTGAAGCACATTTTGTATTCCTGGACAGCAAGACACATTTTACCATCTGTATCCTGTCCCAGACTGGAGCTAGTGTACATTACTCTCTACCAATTTAAGAAGAACACTGTCAGCAGACTGTATTTCAACCTAACTAGACAAGCACAGCCATCTCCTTCGCTCAGTGTATCTTCAATCTCAGCACACATGACACATACAGTACTTTGCATTTTAGTCTAATTAGACTGCAGTCTTTTATTTAGGGAGTAAGTATTCAGCATTTATTTTTGCTAGAGCAGTGCTTCTTCTATTCTGAGCATTTCTACTTTACAGTGCAGTGGAAATCAAGTTGCAATACGTCCTATGCAATACTGTCATCAATGAGGATCCCAACAACAATCTATCTTGTTTTGTCATCTTACCTACATTTATCACTTAATTTACGTTTGACTTGTTTTTGTTATCAGGTGGAAACTCAAGAACGGCCATGGTAGCTGCCCTCAGTCCTGCAGATATCAACTACGATGAAACTCTCAGCACGCTCCGGTAAGGTTTCCAATTACAAAATGATTCTAGTTCATTTTATTTGTTTGGATTGAATCCTTTACTACAAATACAGTTTGTTCTTTTACAATTCCTAGCTATGCCGACCGAGCTAAGAACATCAAATGTAATGCTGTCATCAATGAGGATCCCAACAACAGGCTGGTGCGCGACCTCAAGGACGAAGTATCTCGACTGAAGGAGCTGCTCCGTGCTCAGGGCCTAGGGGACATCCTAGACAGTGAGTTTAATGCGGCCAAAGCTTCTAGAGCCAGACAGCGTCTACTCTCCGGGTCTACCACGCTCTGGCAACATCTTCTTTCTACTTCACTGTCATCTAACTTTCTTTTCATCGCTGTGTCTGTTTTCCTGCCTCAATTACTAAACGTACCTCCTTATAGAGTATATTTTGTACTATTTATAACATGCCTAATAGAACACATTCTAAGGTTGCATATTATATTACAAATAATTTGACAAAAAATATAAATGGTCATATTTGGCTAATTGTGACTGACAACACGAATGGTAGTTTAATGCAGCTTTAAACTATCACACTCCATTTGCTACACACAAGAGTAATGGCTCATAGCCTAGTAAATTAGAGCCATAATACACCCATTAATAACTTCTAATATGTGGGCTGATTAATAACCTGCCGACTTGCTAATGCCTGCCTAGATCATGCCTAATGACATGGCACTTAACAAGTAATTTCTTCGCATTCAGCTCACTAAGAAATGTCTGTAACCTTTTCCTATCATTCACTGGTGCTGACCTCTGACCCTCATCTTCTCCTGCTTCCCCTCAGTTGATCCTATGGGGGATGATTGCCCCGGAAGTGGAATCAAATGTGTGTACATGTGTGGAACTCATGAATTGTCTATCACTATTTGCCCTATTGATAAGAGCGAACATTGCTTTTGCCCCCCTTACCTATATTTAAATCTGCTACCGGCTTTGCATGTTGATGCTAAAAGCAAATGCTTTATAGAAGTAGACTCAGAAATGAAAGGCTTCTTTAGAACTGCTGATCCAGCATGCTTTGCGCTTGAATGATGATGGGGGGGAGGGAGATATTTGCGGGCTCCAATCCAACTGTATCACAAGTTGTTTTTGGAATATCCCTTTTGGTCTCATTACTTTTAGAATAGCTTGTCTGACTTCCCTACCCCCAAGCACCCACACTTTCTCTTACCATATCTGTCTTTGGCTTTCTAATGCTTCTTTTTGTTGACTGTGGTCTTTCTGTTTTTTATTTTGTTTTCTTATACTAACCATTCACTGCAGCTGAAAATGCTCAAATCTTTAAAATGGCACTTCTCAGTTCCCAACCTGAGGCTCAGGATTACAGACGGAAAGGTGCTTGATTTTAAACTTCTCAGTAGCCACACCAGCGTTGAATAGCTTGATGTAATAGTTTGTACTGAATAGTTAGTGTACCTTCTGCTGTATTCTCAGAAATCCCTAATAACTCCACCTTGTTTCCCTTTCACACTAATAATCTGTATAAATGTTGTAACCTGAGTTCCTGTCCAAAAACAGGTCCTTACCTGATTAGACTAATCTTCATAGTAAAAACTTGAGCTTAAGTACTCATAAAGTTCTTCAGTACTTTGGTTTTGATGTATTTCCTATGTTTCTGAAATATGAAAATACTTTATTGACGGTGTCTACTGGACACAAATGTCAGCACCTCAAAAAATATTTACATTTTCTTTAGTTTTTATCCATTTCTTAGAAGGCACAGTCTGAGTTTGAGGCCATTATATTGACATGAGTTGCCTGACCTTTAGCGAGGATGCTGTGACTCTGATAAAGTGTATGAGCGAGTGTGTGTCTGTGAGCAATGAATCGAACTGCTGGACTGCAGGCTGAACTTTGGCAGCATGTGTCAGTGACTCTCATCTGTCCTCCCTCTATCACCCTCCCATCCTGTAGTTGATACATGGATAGCAGTTTTCACGCAGTGTTTTCTCATTCAAGACAACAAAGGGACAGCAGCGTATTCCTCAGAATTGTACACAATTAAAATTAATTGCTGGGAGTTAATTGCTCTGCACTGTTATTCTGCCCACAGAGAAACAGGCGCCTTGGAAACTCTCTAACAGAGTACAAACTAAAATGTCTAATATTTTCTGTTGGAGTTGAAGTGTGCAGGCAGACCTTTGCAAACCATCTGGAGTGAAAACTGCTTCTCTCTGTAGCTGACTATTATGCTGGGTGTTTGTCTTGACCTTTTGATGTACAACTTGTGTCTTACATTGGTCTTCCCTTCCTTTTGTCCTTTCTCTCCCCCCCCCACCTCTTTCTATCCTCTCTCCTCCTATTTGGTTTTCCGTTCCATTTTATGTGGTTTATTCCCCCTCTCCTCCTGCCCTGGGCCTGTCCACCTTTTGTCTCCGTGTGCTCTTTTTCTCTCCAACTCTTTCTCTCCTGCTGTTGGCTCAGACCTGAAAGACATTCAGAACAATAAGCATAGATACTTGATAGCCTCAGAGAATCAACGCCCTGGCCATTTCTCCACAGCCCCTATTGGTTCCCTGACAGCCTCACCATCCTCTGGCTTGCTGTGCAACCAGGGGGGCCTTCAGTCTGCCACCAGCATCCAGGAGCGCATCATGTCCACCCCTGGAGGAGAGGAGGCCATCGAGAGACTCAAGGTAGAGTTGGCCTGTGTAGACGGTTGAAGTGAAATCACACGTATGTCAAGAGAGAAGAAGAGTCCCACAGTTAATTGTCCACTCTGCTGAGACCCTCAAATTGTGGATACTTTTACCTTTAAGTCCATTTTCGTTTTGCCATTCAAATCAGCACCTAGTTTGATCAAAAGCTGCTGCATGTTGTGTTGCGTGTGGCAATAGGATGACTTTCACGTTTTTATGTAAAGCATCTTCTTAAATTAAAACATATATTTGTGTATCAGTATCTCCTTTGTTAAATACAAATTATAAAACACCATTGAAATGTAAATGATCAAACAGTTAAAATACACTGTTCTGTGCCTCTCAAAATATTCGTCATATCTCTCCTCTGCCTGCGATGTTAAATATCTATTGTGTGGCAAAGGAGGAGCATCCCTTAGCTGCATATGGCTTACATACACATCCTACAATTGTTCATCAAAGTATAACAAACATGTGTGCATAACATAAGAACATTTTTTGTTTTATTAAACAATTGAAAAGATACCTCAGTTAATATAATATTAGGAGTAATATGTGAATTATAGGAACTGGGGAAGGTGCATCTTTCTAAATCACTTAAATATCTGTGAATAAATTAGTAAAACAAATAAAACTTTAATATAAACCTTAATATAAACCTCACACTGTAATATTTAAACAGTAAATTAAAGTTCTTATGTGAATGTCAAGATGGCTGTTTAATCTTTGTTTAGCCCACACACAACCTTTAATCAAAACACATTCCGCCCTTCAGTCCTCATATGGCCTCTGAGTTTTACTTCTCACGCTCGCAGTACACTCTCTCTGTTGATAAGAAAACACATTGCAAAGACCAACCATGAGGAGCTGCAGTTTCCATGGCAACTATGGTGCCCAGTCTATCGGTCATCCAATGACGTCAAACACCAACGCAGACAAGGACGAAATTGGATAAAAATAGATCCAAGTCGCATTGGCTTTTAGATTTAATAGTGATCTTTAATAAAGGTGTCACAGCTGTGTGAGTGAGACGGAAACAAAGATCACAGTCAAAGTCACCTTTACAATTCACCTTAAAGCTCAATACTGCCCAACATAACAATTCATTATTGTATTAAACTAAGATGACTACATTAAACATTATCAGAACGGGGAACTCAGAAAGTTATGTTTTCATGCCATAACATAGACCATTATGTGGGACTGCCCTTCTCTGTTGTCGTGACTGACTCAAAATGTTCTTTAATGAAAGAAAGCATATGAACATGGCCAAGAAAGCTTGTTTATCACTAGTTTAAATCTTTTTAACCCAGACTTGGTGTTACTGAGTTTAGCACCCTGTAGCTACTCCAGTGCTACAGGTAATACTAAATTACAATCATTGTGTTTTCCTCACACTTTGCCTCTGTTGTTCAGGAATCAGAAAAGATTATTGCCGAGCTCAATGAAACCTGGGAAGAGAAACTGCGAAAGACTGAGGCAATCCGCATGGAGAGGTCAGTATTAACATCATACGTGTGCATCCACCCCTCCCTCAATTCATCTGTGTATTGTCAGTGCTAGACAAACCCCCCATAGCCCCCTCTGTATTCTCCCCCCTCTGTGCCGCTCCCTTTCTTCACCGATCTGCCACATTTCCGCTGCACTTGTTCTGTCTATTTCCCTTCCCTTCTCTGTTGTCACACTCAGCCGCACAAACACCCCTCTCACACCCCTTTCTCCCCCTTTATCCACTCATCTGTGGCTGCAGACATAAACCATGTTACTGTCTGTCCATTGAGTCTCACTGGTGCCATTCTCTGCCCGTCGTCACTCCACAAATCACACACTGTGATGCTGTTCACCATCACTTCTCATCCTGTTTGTCTTATCAACGCAAAGGCGCTTTTCTGGAAATAAATGTACCGAGTGTGTGTAACTCTATTGCAGAAAGTATCTGCAAGAGAATATGTGCAACAATGTGTGTTATTCCTCCTGAGGGTCTGACACATGTTTTACTTCCTCACAGGGAGGCATTGCTTGCAGAGATGGGTGTGGCAATCCGTGAAGATGGAGGCACTTTGGGGGTCTTCTCTCCTAAAAAGGTAAATCAGACATGAGACACGAGCACTGAGGGTGATGGCGGTTGCCTGTTTCGATTTTCCCATGGGTGTTGATGCACACCTTTCCACCATCACTTCCTCTCTTCTGTTTCCTGTGTTATCTTTTTCCATGAGAACCCTCCCTGTCACTGTTTTTTTCTCATCTCCTCACTTAATCATTCTGTCTGTCTCTCCACTCTGTTATTTGCTTCCTTCACACACTCAGCTTAGCCAGGAAATGCCATTTGACGAGCAGTTTGATTGTTTTGCCACCAAGAAGGTTTGTTTTCATTAGAATTAGCAGACAAAGCACCCTTCCTGCACTAGATGAGGTTAAGTGTTGAGTAGTGCTTAACATCCTTAAAATGCTGGTCAGAGTTGTCCCTATGGTTACCGCACTGTTGCACAGATCTACATTTATTGTAACTCCTGTGTGTAGCATCTACGATTAATATCCCTCTCCATTATTAACTTTATATAATGATGTGATTTAATTAAGGTTCTGTGAAGTACAATTATACACAGACCACTTGAATCGAGGTTTATCTTTAAATATAATACCTAGCTCTGAGTAGATTATTTAAATGTGTCCTTAAGCTGCTTATTAGCACTGTCATGGGGCTTATTAATTTACAGGCAATGGTATATTTCCCTCACTCTCCTTACCGCTCCGGCATGTCTCAGTTGAGGAGACCAGAAAGACCAATAGGTGTATTATGGTATTAGCGCTAGCTGTCCCTAGATCAGCTGTGGTTTCAGAAAATGACCCCTATTTGAATCCTTCCCGACTCCTCCACTGCATATCGATTTGTTTTCTTCCATTCATTTTTTTTCTCTCCTTTCACTCACTGCTGCTCTATGGGTTAGCTTTTCGTTGAGAAGTCTTGTGATCTTTATACAGACTTTAATGGGGTGTTCTCCCCAAAAAAGGTTGGTGGTTTAGCGGAGTAGCTGCTAGCATAATATCTAGTGATACTGTGATGTTTCAGACTCTAGGAGTGTCAGCACTGTGTCAATGTGACCCTTTCTGTCCGTGTACTGTATATCATGTAGTACACTGACAGCAGAGAGTGATTTAAGAATATGCTCACTTTTTATTTTTAGTGTTGGTATAGATTGGTCTGTGAAAACATGATGCAAGTAGAGAAATTCTAGAAATATTTTTGTGGTAAACCGTCTGTTTTATGTTTCATGTATAGACTCCACACCTGGTTAACCTGAATGAGGATCCTCTCATGTCAGAGTGCCTGCTCTACTACATCAAAGACGGAATTACAAGGTAACCCAAACCTGCATGATGACACTGAAATGAAGGTGTAAGAGTTGCATTTCTTCCAGGCAGTGGAAGTTCCTCTTGCTTCACTTCAAAAGAGTAAGATTTAAATACGGAGTCAGAGAAAACTGGCTTAAAATCTGCCACTGCTCACCAAAGGTTTTGCCTTCTAAAGTTACTTTCCTCCCCTCTTTGTCCTTGTGCTCCCCTTAGAAGACTATTCCTGTTGAGTATTCTGTTACAATCACGCCTCAGGGGGACAATAACGGATGACAGAGTTACAGACGAAAACACCTATTGTCCTTTGGGGGTGTTGCTTTGTTAAAATATATTTCATTTAACTTCTGCCGCTGACTTTTAAATGAAATGGCTGCCAACACAAAGAGACTTCACTCTCTCATAATGGTATCTCTTATTGTTTCAGGGTGGGTCAGGCTGATGCTGAAAGACGTCAGGACATTGTTTTAAGTGGTGCTCATATCAGGGAAGAGCACTGCGTCTTCCGCAGCGAGAGGAATCTCAATGGAAATGGTGAGGCACTATATTATGAGTTTGCTTGCTTAACTTTGCCATGGCATATGTGATTTGAATATCTGGATTATCATCAGATTTGAAACAAATCAATAAGTCTGGATGGCATTGGTGGATAAATATATAATCAAAGTTTATCTTCTGTTGCTAATGGAAACATTCTGCCCTGTCAGTAATCAGTACATACCCTGAATTAGATCTTCTCAGAATGAGTCACTGATGATTGGTTGTTCTGATTTTGCTAAAGTTGTCGTCATGCTGGTGCCATGCGAGGGATCTGAAACGTACGTCAACGGCAAGCGTGTTGAGGATTCAATCCAGCTACGTTCAGGTAAATCTCACATTTTTGAAAATAAAGTTATAAATGATCTGTGAATGTGATGTTTTTGTTATTTCTGTTAAGCCGGAATGAGGTGACTAATAAAATGATAATTGAATTTGTATAATGGGTTTTTCCTGGGGCGTCATAAATAACAGTTGTACAATGTGGTTTATAGCAGTGGTTCTCAACTGGTCAGGCCTCGGCACCCACTTTTTACTTGGTCAATACATCGCGACCCAGCATTTTGAAGCACTCAAATCTATTCAACAAAAAAATCGTGCTGTAATATACGCTTTTCAGCATACAATATTAATACAAGTGAAGTACAGTGCATATATCCCTTCACAGAACTAATGTATGCTTTTAAAAAAGGTTTAATGAGATGATGGAATCAAAGCTGAACTATATAAAAAGGCACACATGCTGTAAATCCAACCCCAGCAGGGGGGTCTGGGGGGAATCTCCACCAGGAGATTTTTAGAAATACTAACATAAACTATGCATTCTGGTACACTCTGAGAAGAAAATAAATAAATCTATTACTACCCGACATATTAATAATATTTTATGCCATTGTTTGTTTTTCACTTCTGTTGCTGAGAAGAGTAAAGAGGAGATAGTCTGTGTGACTTACTTTAAATTGTGGTTAAGGGTAGATAGCCCCCATTGTTCTGTGACCTGTCAATCATCAATCCGGGGGTCATATTTCATTATGTGCTCATTTTTATCTGAAGCTGTACCCATGGATGTATAAAGAAGAGTTCTACCGCAAAGTTATTCTCCGTGGGGACTTCCGGCAACAATCTTGATTCTGATTGGCAAGAAGACTCGAAAAAACATCAGCAAAGATATTTTATTGTGAAGATGATCACTACGTGACAAAAGTTTTCAAAACCGTTTATGGTCTCCGGTACTTCCAGTCCAAATCCGACTGCATGCACAGCGTTAGAAAATCGGGCCTTCAAAATAAAAGTTTGACTTTTTCCCCAAAAAAAATTCCAATTTTTTTTTTTTTTGTTCTTCACTCACACATCCGCACCCATTCGAAACGAGTCCGCTACCCACTTTTGGGTCGCGAACCACTGGTTTATAGCATCTATTCTGATGCTTTAACCTACATTTTAAACAAAATGTTGGAGTTCTTACATTTACACTGTTCTATCAGCACTTAATAAACAATGTCTTTGCTAATCTAACGATCCCTGCCCATTTCTCTGCCCCGTCTTCTTTCAGGTAACCGTATCATTATGGGAAAGAACCATGTGTTCCGGTTTAACCATCCTGAGCAGGCACGAGCTGAAAGGGAAAAGACGCCAACGGCAGAAACCCCTGTGGAGCCGGTGGATTGGACCTTTGCTCAGAGAGAGCTGCTGGAGAAGCAGGGCATCGACATGAAGCAGGAGATGGAGAAAAGGTACGCAATCCATCCTGTTGGCCTTTATTTAAATGTCCTGCTATAAGTATCTGTAGTGATCTGTTGGGTTTCAAATATGGATGCTAAAGTATATCATCATTTGTGTGATGTATTTCATAATAAGCAATATGCTGTCATTTACATAGGCTCACTGAGATGGAAATCTTGTACAAAAAGGAAAAGGAAGAAGCAGACCAGCTTCTGGAGCAGCAGCGACTGGTGAGTTCAAATCAGCTGGAATTAAATCAAACCCACTTTGTAAATGTTATTGATTCAGTTTTCTGTATTTGTAATGTTAGAAGTTGTAGACAAGTTAGTAGTAGCTGCATTGTGGGTTTATTAGATATTAAGCCATTATTTATTTCATGCCTTTTGGGAGTTATTTTTTATTCAAGGCAGCTTCTCTTGATTCAGATAGTTTGTGATATTTTGAGTTTAATTTGGCTGAAATGCGTGGAGTTCAAAGTTAAAGCATGGTTTTTCTATGGTCAATACCATTTTGAAAGCTAGTTTCTGTTTTTTTGGATGATAGCTTCACTTGGTCCTTTTAAATCTGACTAGTACTAATTCTCACTCTGTGCTCTGACACTTTTGAGATGTCTGTGTGCGTGATTCACACGTTTACTGCTAGCGCATGTCTGTTCTTCTTGCATGGTTGGTTTTCTGGTTTGAGAAAGATTGCCTATCTCTTTGGTTCTCTATAGCATTTTGATTGAGCGAGAATTAGATGTTGAAGCTTTCCCCTTTCCAAATCCCTGTTTTCATTTTTCTTGTGTCTTCTATAGTGGATCTGAATCTTGCAAAACAGCAACTTACGGCTAACGTTTTTTGATATTATATTCAAAATTAATCTTAAACCTGAATATTGGTCAGTAAAGATTGAAACACATTGCCTCGTTTTTATAAAGTGACGCTGCTTTTGCATGGTTCATGTTAATAGCATGTTTTCCTAACTCGTTCAGTACTGGTTCTGGACTAATTGCAGTGTTTGCTGTTGAGCTGGTCAGCTTTGAAGCGGCTGTTGATTTGCTTGGATTAGATTTCTACTCTAGTTTTCTTGCTCTGTTTTTATCCTGAGTTTCATCTCTCCAATGCAGTTGCTGACATGTCCAATGCATTGTGATAACAAAAAAATCCCGCTGTAGTTTTTTGACAGATAGTGACAATGTGGTTTCTCATTGACTTCTTTGGCTACCTCTCTTTGCTAGCCTTACATGGCACCGGCATAGTACACTGAGGGCAACAACAGAGTTATCGCTGCTTAAATCAGTGAATCACAGACCTCTACTCATACAACTGGTATTATGTGCAGAGCCTCAGGCATAGGGGTTCAGACTCCCAGCAACATAACATCCAATTCTAGCTATAGATACACTACATACACAATACATGAATTATTTGTACCAAATGGTTGTGATCTGTAATGTACTTTGTCTACGAAAAATGAGAAACTGCATTTTTTCAAACTAACATCTTTCTTGTAGTGGATTAACACTTACCCTTTCGCCTGCCTCTCCTCTCTCTACTGGCTTTCTGATCAACCGCAAGAACACTTTGTCTTCTAACTCACTGCTAACACAAAAGCCTTTCAAACCTTCTGGACTAAAGGGAGAAAGCTCCAAAATGCATCTACATGCATGCCGCTGTAGCATGTTTGGGATCCAGCTTTCAAATCAAAATACATTTAATTAAGAAGAGGAACATGACAAACGAACAGAAGTGCTCCGATCATCCCCTATCGTCTATTGATATTTATTTTCTAATCATGATAGACATGCTTTATACCTTTTTACTTTTAATATCAATGTGCAACATTGGGAACAATATTGTTAAAGCTGATAACCCCATTTATTATATCTGAAAACCCTTTGAGCTATAGATACTTATATTAATATCCATTTATTTTTATCAATATCACCATTTCACTAGAGACGATATCAGAACAACAAACTGACAGGCAAGCAAGTCAATGGAAGCCACTGATTGTTGGATATTTATTTGTATTTCTATCTTTATTTTGAACATAATTATGGATGGATGTATACTGCATGTTGCCATACATTGTAAAATAATGATGTATGCACAATATTTATTAAACATTACAGTGTAATAGTTATCTTTGGCAAATATCCTAAATCTCAAAATTCTGAAGCACAAAGCTCTGTCTAATTGGATTACAATTCTAATCAAGCTTTAACTTTACTCATAGTTGAAGTTCCCATGTTGCATATTCATAACTTTTAATCATTCTTTTATTTTAAAAGTCGCCCCTTCATCTTCTCTTTGATTTCTCATTTTAATTTCTCCTTTTTTTGGGAACCTTTTGGTTTGTGTCCTGTTGTTTTCTCAAGGATGGAGACTCTGATAGTGGGGATGACTCAGATAAGAGGTCTTGTGAAGAGAGCTGGAGACTGATCACTTCCTTGAGGGAAAAGCTGCCACCCAGCAAGCTACAGTCCATAGTGAGAAAGTGTGGATTACCCAGCAGTGGGAAGATAAGAGAGCAAGTTAAAATGTACCAGGTCCCTCAGCGGCGTCGCATCACCAAGGACTCCAAGTGGGTGACCATCTCCGACCTGAAGATCCAGGCAGTCAAAGAAATTTGTTATGAAGTAGCCCTCAATGACTTCCGCCAAACACGGCAGGAAATCGAAGCACTGGCCATAGTAAAAATGAAGGAGCTTTGTGCTAGCTACAGCAAGAAGGACCCCAACGAGCGGGACTCGTGGAGGGCGGTGGCTCGGGACGTTTGGGACACTGTAGGGGTTGGTGATGAGCGCATTGAGGACGTCGTTACCAATGGGCCACGACCAGGAGTGGTTGTAATGGACGACCTGAAGGTGCACATTGATAAACTTGAAGACATCTTGCACGAGGTAAAGAAGCAAAACAATATGAAAGATGAGGAGATCCGTACCCTCAGAAATAAGATGGTTAAAATGGAAAAGGTTCTTCCACTCATCACCCCAGAGAGCCAAGAAAAGCCTCCTGTAGTCACCTCCACTACCTCTGCCACATCCCCAAGAGAAGGGAAACCTCCCTTGCCAGAAAAGCCTGATGATGAGGATGTAGATTCACCAACAGGCCAAAGTGCAGGCGATGACTCTACCCTGAAGCGAGGCCACATGCGCTGGATGCGTCAAGAGCAGGTGCGCCTCAAGAACCTTCAGCAACAAGAGATCTCAAAACAGCTCCGCCGGCAGACCGGACCACACCGCTTCATACCCCCAGAAGATCGCAAGCTGCGCTTCCCCTTCAAAAGCAACCCTAAGCACCGCAACTCGTGGAGCCCAGGCACTCATATTATAATCACAGATCAGCAAGTCATTGAGCTAAAAGTGCCCAAAGAAGCTGTAGAGGAAGACGAGGGCGAAAGCCTCAATGGAGAAGGACTGCAGTCTAAAGAAAGGATGGCTGCTTCACTGATCCAAGTCAGTCCTCCATTACCAAGCCCATCAGTCCAGTTCAGGAGCAAAGACTTGGAGCAAGGTTTAAGCCAGGGTCACAGACATAACTATAGGAACAATCAGAACCAGCAGCACCATGAACGAAGCCGCAGCAACTCTTTTAATTACCGCCAGCGGCCTTCTGGCTCCATGGAGTCACTGCAGCAGTCTGAAAGCAACAGGAGGCACACACAAGCTTTCTACCAGCCCCGCCAACATCAGGCTCATCCCCAGCAACACCACCAACAACAGCCCTGCCACTACGATAACATGATGTATACAGATGGTAGATACAATGGCTATCAGCAGTACCAGCACACTGACCACGCTAACCATCCAATCAACTTTCAGCCACCTCCGAGAATGCGCAGGCAGATGTCTGCTCCAAATCTAAAAGCCAGCAGAGAGACGGCAGTTTGAGTGGGACATGTTGAATGAGGAACTAGTTTTAATATACTTTTGAGTAGTAAAAATACATTACAGATCACAACAGCTCAGAATCATGTGAGTCACACAACTCAAACCGACTGACTTTTGCACTTGATCAGTGTGTTATTGGTTGATCCAAAAGTATTGTATGTATTATAAGGAGACATTTTATCATCATCATCACCATAATATATGCCGTTTTACGAGTTTTTGCTGCATTGTGTGCCCTGTGATCACTAGCATTGGGAGAGCTGTCATAAGGAATTGAAGCCAACAGATGATAAAGGGACTGTTCTTTTGTTTTTGTTCTGAAGAGACACGCCATGCCTACTCTGCTCATCTTTTATCATGTGTGACAATTCATCAATCATGCTTTGATTTGCCAAAATTGTCTTCTTGGTTGAATTTCTGAGTTTACATATTTGCCATTTTATCTTTGGTCTATCTTGAATGTTTTTAGCCACTACAATATAAACACACTGAAGTGTCTAGACTTTGGTTGTGATTGTTCCCTAAACACCCTATATATATATTTTTTTTGATGTACCATGTAACTGAATTTCAGGATGGAAACATCAATTATCTTTGCAGTTTTTCATTTTTTTTTGCTGTACTTCATAAAACATTTACTTTCATAAATCACCATTGGCCTAGAATCAAAAGACCAGCCTGCTGGACATTTTAAATAATGGAATAACTTGATGCACTAGTCAATTGACTGCCTTTTAAACAGACTGAAATATTGGTTTAAAGAATGTGGTATTCAAAGGTGCCTTTTTTTATGCCTTAACATATTAATCCCGCTGTGCATTACACATTCAATATTTTCTTTCTTTGCTTTTTAATTCAGTCTTCATGCACAGGGTTTTAAGTTAAAATGTGCAAAGGAATCTTCTGAACTTGCCTAACCAAACTAACCTTTTTTAAGTAACACTGATTTATTCAAATGCTTAGTTCAAGCCACTTGATTGCTGGATACCAACCTTACTTTCTTAGATGTATTTCAAATATATAACTTTCACCTTGTATTTCAGTATAATAATGAATTAGTTGGTAAAGACACACATTTCAATGTTAAGTCATAATTTACCCTATTAAAACTGTTTTTTAAAAACTACCCACAGAGCTTATTAAATATAAGAACCACTATGCTGAAATCCTAGGGGGGTGGACCTAACTTTAACATAAGTTCCACTAATCCAGAAAGATCAAGAACAAATTGAGTTTCTTCCTGTATCAACCACACTTCCTCAGTTGAGCTCTGATTTCTTAAAATGACATTCTGGGTTTGTGGTTCACTGAGTAAGCACAGAGTTCACTGTGTTTCAATTCAATGTCCTTCAGAGTGTTGTCATGGCTCCCAAAGACTTGGCTTAAAAATGTTGGAGAGAGGACAAAGGCTTGAAGTGTTTGAATAATGTTATTTGGGAGAACTACAATGTCAATGGAGATTTTGAAGACTGCCTTGATTTAGCTGCATCAAAACGGCACTACCTGGATAGATCTATCAGAGCGATGGCTTCTGAACTCAGTCAGTGTTTTGCCTCTGTGCTATAGCTGATGCTTATTTGAGTTAGCAGCAAGCCTGCCTGTCAATCTGCCTTTTCTTGCTGCATTCATTTCTTTAAAAGAAATGTTGATTCATTTGAACATTTAAGTACAAGATGGCCTTTAAATCATCTGTGGGAATCAGTGACACTGAGCAGAAAGCAGAGGCCTTTTGAGGTTTTCAAAATGTTACATTGGTTCACAATGATGAAATGATTTTCTGTGTTTTATACTATACGTTTTGACAGTATATACTCTGCCTTTCTCTGCTGTAACAAAAACCAAATGATATAATGACATGTGCAAGTCTCTCAACCTTACGCCTCATATCTTTGACTATCTTTGCATGCGATAGCTTACATTTCTTCATCCCTAATAAGTGCTCCATTAAAGAACGTTATTTAGCGTATGCACTGGTGCCAATGGCGACCAGGGAAGCTGGAAAGTAAACCACTTCAAATGAACAGTGCGCTGTTCTTTTGAAATACATATATGTCTGTGTTAGGTCTCAGCTCAAAGTGTCTGTTGAGTGTTGTGCGTCTGCTTTTTGAATCTACAATATCAAGTGCCTCAGTGCAGCTGTCTGCCAAGTTTTGTTGCTCCTTAATCAAGCACTTTGTGCAAACATACCTATGTGAACAAGGTAAGAATATACTGAGTCTCTGTGTTGCTGGAGGATTTTCAAAATATGACTGAAATAAAACGACATGCTCCAAGTGCAGTTATTTGTTTTATATGGGTAGTATTTGTTTTTCACTGCCATTAAACCAGTTTAGGGACATCATCTCATCTGTCCATTAGGCCTGTCACAATAACTACTTTAGTTGGACAATATACAGTCCCATAAATGACCTCGAAAATCAATATGGTCATTTAAAAGCCATTTATATAGTTATAATAACAGCAAAATAATGCTAGAGCACCCTTTTAAAGAGCATTATACTTCTTATACTTAAGAATTCAATCACTGGAATTGTATTGCTAAATCAGAAGTGTCCTTTTATAAATAAATTAGAAATACTATGTAAAAAAACAAACAAAAGAAAACCACTCAAAACGACAAAAAATGTACTCAGGATCCGTCAACAAAAAGTCTTAAAAGCAGGCAAAACCCTGCTGTTCATTCTGGCCTCATGCTGGCTTAAATGTTGGTGACATCCTTATTTAAACCCTCACATATGTAAACACAAAGAGCATTATCGAGGTCAGCAAATATGGTCGGGGTCCATAAGTATTTACCACAATGTAATTATCGTGGCAGGCCTTTTTGCATGAGTGAACTAAACAGGAGTACCAATGTGAGACACTGTACAACACCTTACGTCAGATATGGGCTGTTTTCATTTCTATTTTTAAAACATTTTAAATGAATGTGGTACATGTCTTTATACTTTTATCCATATACATTGCTAAGGGTTTTATAAACTATTTGTTATTACCGAAATCACATCACATATACTTTAACATGGGATAGGGATGAAAGTGTGATTAGGTGCTATTCACTTCATTCCATCCACATAAATTGAGGCACTAAATGTAGTCTTTGCCATGCTGCAACGTAATTTCTGAATTGTAATACACATTTTGTGAATGGGCTTGAAATACTGTATTCACATGAACTATTTAGGTGCACATTGTTAAAAAAGCAGCTTCATGCGGATCTCTACATTCAGTAAAACTGGCTTTTTTTAGATTTCTAAATGTTCTTGAATGAATAGAATTCAGCTATTAGCTTGTTGGTGGGATTTCAGCAGGGAGGAGGTTAATGAAGAATGAAAAGGCTGCATTGTCTTCCCAGAAGACACTGAACAAACAGGATGAGGTCATCGGGACCACGGCCTGTCCTGCTCTGATGATGATGGCGCCCCTCATTGGATTACAGTTGACTCAGCTCCCACCAGCAGCTCTTCCATCCCAGCCTTTCCCTCTGACTATAACATGATAGTTTTTGTTTTCCTTTTCCATATTTATTTCAGAATATTTTTTAAATGTTCAATTGCATCGGCTCTAGGATTCGGATACCCACTTTTTTGTATATAAAAAGTTAAACATTTCTTGGGCTTTTTTTTGCTTTTTCGGCAAGAACTATTAAATATTTTCTGATATTTTTTGGTTTTGGATTGTGTCATATGTTTCCTTGTGAACAATAGACATGTTATTATTTATGATTAGTGTAATATATTTTAACCTCTTCAAGTTATCAATAGCTTTCACTGCGAGTGTTTTACATCCAAAACACGCAGTATTTAATAACAGGTCTGGAAATGTACAGTATAAGAAAATGTTACACATTTAATGTATTTGTAAACCTAATTCTGTGTATCATTGCATTATTTATACATCCAGCTGCATGCTCCATGTATCATTTGGATCAGTAGCCAAAGTTCTCAGTACATGCCTGTAATATAGAAATAAAACTGGTAGTATTGAGTATTCCCAACATATCACTGTGTATTTTGGGTTAAATGTGGTACAGATGGCGGTCTAATTTCACAGTTTTCTTGCGGCTGATGGAGAATTGTTCATGTTTTCTCTCCTCGTCCCTGTGTGTTGGTGTGCAGGTGTACGAGAGCAAATTGCAGGAGCTTCAGAAACAGGTGGAGACTATTTCTGTGGTTACAGAGACACCTGATGAAGAAGAGTTGGAGGAGGATGAGGAGGAGGAGGAGGAAGGTGTGTACTGTTAATCTTCAGCCCTGCAGATCTTTCTTTAGCAAATGTATTTAAGGCTAAAAGTATACATATTTAAATGCAATGTTTGTTTTCTTTCACATTTTCTATCCAGAGCCTAAACTTCTGGGATGTGCGTATAGTATTTCCCATTTCATAACCAGAAGAATATAATATCAACTTCATTTAGATTAATTGAAATGTTGTAACTAATTACAAATTCAAGGTTTTAAGTCAAACTAGTCCATAAATGCAATATCCTATACTTTCTTTGAAATAAACATACTACTAATTAAACAAAACACATTTTACTTTGACCATAATTAAAGTTGTGCATGTTTTAGCCCACTACAAGTTTCTTCTACATTACTGGCTATATTTTCCGAAGCAAGCAGTGAAAATAAACTAGAAATACAGTTGTAAATCAAGTTGAGAGCGATAACAGGTTCTAATTTTGGGGATGGAGCTTAACTTCTCCTGTGGTCTTACAAGAAACACACTAAAAGTCTGTATTTCCTCTCAATTTGTCTTCTGTTTGTTATAAATGAGTGCTTCATAATTTAAAGCTGACAGTAATTTATGATCTTGGAGGTCCCTAAACACATCCTGAAGGAAAAGTTAACAGCACAGTGCTTGAAAGAAACATTGAGTAAAATAAAGAAGACGACATATTCCACATGATGGATAATGTTGATTTGAAGGCAGTAATGTAAAGTACACTGGGCTAAAACAAGTACAACCACTGGCATGGTCCTTTTTGTGCATTATCATTGTGTGTGTGTGTGTGTTTATTTTCGTGTATGTTAACATCACCTGATTCCCCCGCAGTGCCGTGGACTCAGCACGAGTTTGAGTTAGCTCAGTGGTCTTTCAGGAAGTGGAGGTACCACCAGTTCACCTCCCTCCGCGACCAGCTGTGGGGAAGCGCCGTCTACCTGAAGGAGGCCAACGCCATCAGTGTGGAGCTAAAGAAGAAAGTGAGAAAACTGATATTGCGCTTTACGTTATTGTTCTTAAGCAGTGATTTAAGACCGGTTTTCCAGCTTTAACATTAAAGAGAAAAATGTTTTGTTTAGCACAAAACTAGTGCTAGTGAAGGCAGGAAGATTTGAAATGTATGCTGCTTTTAAAAAATCGGAGAAAAAGCATTTGAGCGGTCCTTGTAAAATGAATACAAAGAAAAAGGCAAATAAATAATTATGGATTAAAAACAACTAAAATAAGTTATTGGAGAGCCACAGTAACATTTATTTTTTCATGCCCTAATTTAAGTCAGTTGACAGCTTCAGCCTGTTGAACTGGACATCGATCTTAAAACATAATGTGCGTTTGTGCAGAAGGCAATCTTTCACATCACCCGAGCGGGGGTCCACCTTCCCATCCGGAGTGTGTGTGATTTATACGCTCGTCCAGTTCCAGGCGCTTCTAGATTGATAATGGAGATGGCTCGTCTGTCACATAGACATTTTCACAGGAGTTTTATTTATCTTTGGTTTCCTTTCTGTCTGTTATTTATATCCAGTGATGTTAATTGGTTTAGCATTTTTGCCCCAGAGGATGCTGGGAAGAGTAAGACCACAAAATGGAGGCCGTTATGGATTTGTTTGACCTTTCAATCATGGTATATCTTTAATGGAAAAATACCTATCCCTTGATGTCTCCCGAGTGTTTTTAATGAAAAATAATCTTGAAGGTTCTGAGATTAAAGTCATCTTCCTTTGAGTGGATTCTCATGCTTGTTGAATGTTTTTTTTATTTGGCTTGCCTTGATGTTTTTTTAAACTCTCCAATTATTCTTTATTTCCAACCACCTCTCCCACTCTTCAGGTCCAGTTCCAGTTTGTCTTGCTGACAGACACTCTGTACTCTCCGCTGCCCCCTGAGCTCGTGTCTCCAGAGCCGGAGAAAGAGCGCGACGCCCGGCCTTTCCCCCGCACCGTGGTGGCCGTAGAGGTTCAGGACCTGAAGAACGGAGCCACACACTACTGGTCCCTCGAAAAACTCAAGTAATGCCCATACCTTAAATTAACTAATCCTATTTGTAGTTGAATATGTTTTAAATGTTAAAGGTCACACCATTTGTTCATGTCTTTTATACATAAACATGTGTCCCTTCTGTGTAAAGAGATTCTGAAAGTTTCAGGAAAAAAGATTCGCTCACTTTTTGTCCTGATCCATTTATATAAAAACCTGTCTGAAAATGAGCTGATCAGATTTTGGCCACTTCATGATGTCATAATTATTTTTTGGGCTTCTGTAACCATTAGCCAGTAACCACCCAAGGTAACCCCCCCCCACCTTATCACCTGAATCTCCTCCTAGAGCAACTTTGTCTTATTTTTAACCAAATATCTTGCAGAGGGGCGTGGCTCCTTATTTTCATCTAAAGTAAAGACAGAGAATCTGCACTTTTGAAACAGGGCTGAAACAGAGGGGATTATGGGATGCTACAATTCATGATCTGTTTTGTGTTTCGAGCCAAACACTTCAGAGATATGTTTGTATATATCTGAGACCTATAATATATTGATACAAAATAGCATAATAGAGAACCTTTAATACTCAGTCAGCCCAACACAACATCTAGTGTATTGTGCACATTCAGTCTCTTCAGTCTGCTTTGGCTCACATTTCAGTTTTGGCTCAGTTTTCTCAATCAGCCTGTTGTCAGATCATTTATCATGCCTTAAGTAACAGAAAAAAATATACCATAAATTATAAGACTGACATCTCCGCCCTCCATCCATTAGATGAGATGTATTTTCTCGTTCTGCTTCCCGTTAATGCTAATTGCCCTGTGACGTCATCTGCAGGCAGAGGCTGGAGCAGATGAGGGAGATGTACGACCGCGCTGGAGAAATGGCCTCCACCAACCAGGAGGACGGAGAGGGCTCTCTGACAGGAAATGATCCCTTCTATGATCGCTTCCATTGGTTTAAACTGGTTGGGAGGTATGTAACAGGAACGATGGAGAAATACTAAACTGCGTATGTTGTGACTCACTTAATATTCTGCATGAATAGTGTTTGTGGTGCTGCCTGTTTGCTGTTTGAGTCCTAAGTGATAGTTTTGGTTTTTGTTGTGAAACTCAATCAGCTTTTGTGATCCATTTATTTAAAATGGATCTATGTGTGAACTTCCATAAAATCTTTCTGTTTTCATGGTCAAATTCTGTTATACAGATTACATTTCTGTCATTGGAGTCTTGTGTATAAGTGGTATAACATGTTTAAGCATAATTTATGTCTCCATTTTGTTTTGTTGTTTCTTTTTGAATCTGTGTATAATTTGGTGAATTTGTCATTTCATTTGGTGTTTTTGATTTTCATGTTCATTGTAAAATATTCCTCTGTTTATTTATCTATATACAGTCTATGGTATTTATACATTTTATTTGACATCACATTTTATTTATTTGTAATTAGTAGTTTCTCTTTATTGCACATTTCTGTCATTTTGATTTACCCATTGTGAACTGTTTCTGTCTGTTGCCATTCTCATATTGATATGCCTTCCAGTTCATACAAAAGCTTGTTCATAACATAGTGGATTTGGATAAAGTGGAAACATGTGGCATTTTGTATTTGAACCAGCATGCATTAGAAGATGTGAATTTAATTATTTTAAAGTGGCATTTCATTTTGGTATAAAATAGTTTCTATAAACTGCTTTGACAGCTAGCAGCTACTTGTAATACCTGCTCTTTATTAAGTGAATCCTTATGTTGCACTTGCAATGGCTTCCAAGTAGTAGTATTAACAAATATGCTCTCAATAGATTTGGTTAATGATCAAAATTGGTAGAGGTAAAAATCAACACATCTTTACCAATGAATGTACAGATACGGTTTGTGGTAATTACATTGCAATTTCAATATTAACATTTATTTGTATGTTAGTACATGGATTTATGTTGTTTCTTTTTAAACAACATGCCATCAATGGGAACACAATGCCAAGGTGAAATGTCCTTTCAAAGCTATACTCGATGGCCTCTTTAACTCTTTTTATTGCTCCATTGTACCTTTCCTTGGTTCTTGCCACTATTTCCAAACTCCCAACCCGTCAGCTCCCCGATCTTCAACGGTTGTGTAAATGAGCGCCTGGCCGACCGCACGCCCTCTCCGACCTTCTCCACCACGGACTCGGAGATCACCGAGCTGGCGGACGAGCGTCAGAGCGAGATGTCCGACCTGATGGACGACGAGGCCTTTGTGGACGACACCAGCTCAGATGCCGGCACCGAGGAGGGCTCGGACATCTTCAGCGACGGCCAGGACCCCTTCTATGACCGCTCCCCCTGGTTCATCCTGGTGGGAAGGTTGGTGACCGGCAGCGGCATTCCCACGCCCTCCACACACAGGCTGGGACAGGGGTGTAGGGGGGGGATGATGGCTTGGTTTAATAATGTTTATCTTTAATACACATATAGAGTAAAGTGACACAAATGGGGGAATACATAACATAAAGATGAATGAGTGCAGGATATAGAGCAACATAATCAAATGCAGATGAATGATATTTAAAGTACTGCTTCTCCCTCAAGATATTATTTTCTATGTCACTAACTGACCCCATGTCCTCCACGGTGAACAAAGAATACAAATAAATAGAAAAAGTCTTGATTAATTGAATTCAATGCTTTCAACAACAGCAGAACTATCAAAACATCTTTTTAGAAACTCTCACACTCCCCTTCCAATATTACAGTAAGTCTTATTTATGAATATGCTTATTACTTACCAAACACATTTGTCTCTAAAAGCTTGCTATTTAAAACACTTCAACATATTCTGTCTTACACTTACGCAGGCACATTTCTTTTCTGTGCGAGTAATATTTATGCTATTCTTTAATATAGTTTTGCTGTTGTTAAACGCATCTCCCATTTCCTTCAATTCATCAAGAATTATCCCCATTTTTGGATTTTGATTTCACCCTGGAGGCATGTTCAGGAGATGTTTAGGATACAAGATATCATTTTATATATTATTATGGTAGCTGGCAAAGTAGATTATTTAAACATTTCAGCGAATAAATAAGCATATCTTTTATTATTTATCAGCAAATCCCTCCACGGTTAGAGCATAATTTCAGAAACAGATCAAGTATTCATAGCAGCTTTGCAGAGATACATTGGACTATTTTGCAATTTAACATGATTAGCCATGCTTCTGTGCTCACAGGCCCACTTTGTATGATTTACTTTTAATTTAGACTGCGTTTCCAAAAATTGAAAAGCCACCATCCTCTTCTCTCCACCTCCTCCCAGCGTGATGTCTCATCCCCCGCCACCATCACCGCACTGACTGTATTAACTCCATCTGTGGATTTACTGTGTCTAAGTTGATTAGCTGTCTGTCAATTTTTTTTTTTATCCTTGAGCCCTTGTTTGATTTATTTGTTTATTTGATTTATAACATGAATTTATTTTATAACCCTGTATGTGTTTTTTAACATTGCTCTTGAAATGTATTGTAGATATTATTAACTCACTGTTAGTTGTTATCATGCTTATTTGTGTTTAATTCATTGTCAAGAGGAAATAATGTGCTGCAGCAGCATTAGAAATCAGAGGACACGTTGTACCGAGGCCGTTGCCGTAGCACCGGTAATGTCATAGCTGAGTCATAAACAGCGTTTGCCAAGCCATGCACGCCAGCAGACTGCGCACCAGACGTAGCTCAGCCTCTACGTCACTATGACTTCAGAGATTTTCCAGATTGATATTCCTCCTACCCGGCCTCGAGTCTCCCACTAGAGGAGGAGGAGGAGGAGGGACACACACACACAAAGAGTAGGTCACCAGGGGTGCAGCAAAACAAATCAAGCCCTAAAAAAAACACGTCAGCGAGTGTGTGAGTTAGAGACCAACATCTCTATATCTGTATTACGACACAATAAACAAGTCTTTTACAACCTTAACTGCTGCGTCCCAGGCGATCTGTCATCTCCCTGTCCCACAGTTTAAAAATAAAGAGGATGCTTTAAACTGCTGCTGATTTCAGAGTGCTGGAGCAATCAGACTGTAATGTTCACATGGTTTTTCTTTTTTCATTATTTTGCTCAATCCTTAACATTATTGTTTCTAATGCTGTATGTTATAGGAGTTGTTAATGTATGCTTTATTTGCACATTATGATATTTAAATCATTGTAAAGACATGTATGTCAGTAAATAATGTAAAGCTTTTAGAACATTGTCTGTCACTACTCGGATACTTTTCAATTGGGAGCTATACAATTTGTTTTAATAAGCTTTATTAATTGCAATACATTGCAGTTATATAACAAACAAAAAAAACAGAAATCATCATTAATACGATTTAAAATGTGTCTCCTGGATCCAAGGACTTCAACTGTTTCACACTGCAGCAGAATTTCAAGTCTCTCTCCTCCTTTTCCTCGCAGAGCTTTCGTGTACCTGAGCAACCTGCTGTACCCTGTGCCACTGGTGCACCGTGTTGCCATAGTAACAGAGAAGGGCGAGGTGCGTGGTTTCCTGCGTGTGGGGGTCCAGGCTATAGCTGGTGAGTAATTAATGAGATTTTCTAATGAGCACGACTGCTAGCATCTCTATGCAAAGGTTATGCCTGCTAATCACTCATTCCACATTCACTTTATTGGGCTTTATAGATTGGGCTTTCATCCGTAAAAAACAATCCACGTGTACATAAATAGACAAGCGTGAGGGTAAATCAAAAGAAGATACAGATCTAAGAATATGAAAACATAAACTAATGATAATAAAAACTGTGCGATATCCATGTGAAACAGGCTGTTTAACTTACATTTGAATAATATAGTTAAAGAAAACCTACATAATATGTTTCAATTACATGTATCGGTGCCATATTTTATTATTTAGATGGCTAAATATATTGAACTCAAACCTAATAGCTAGATAACTGTTTCTGACTTCTATTTTGATATCATTGTGAGAATGTTTTGCAAAGCCACAGATCTGGTGGCAGAGAGAACACTCCCTCAGATGTTCTGCGTGTTCCTTTAAAGTGCTCTGTCGGTTTGAGTCTGCCATGTCTGCATTAGATCCTGATAAAAGTTTATTTTGTCTCTTTGTAGCTGACGAGGAGGCCCCAGACTACGGGTCAGGAGTTAGACAGTCAGGAACCGCCAAGATTTCCTTTGATGACGAGTACTTCAAAAAGGTGAGCCCTGAGTCAAATGGAAGAAGATTCAAACCTAAGACACTGCGAGAGAGTGGGTGTTAAATATTTAGGATCAAACACAAAGTCACAGAGGCTGGAGATGTGTTAGTGTTCTTGCTACAAACAATGTCACACTTTCCTCCAATACTTTATTTAATACCTGTCATTACTAGTTACTTTGCAGACTCAGGTTAATAATACAATACTAATAGTAATAAAATGATGATGTAATATGGTGTAAAGATTGTTGTGGGTAATTAAAATGCTACCCGGATTATATAAAGTAAAACAGTTAGAATTCAGTCATATATTATATAGGTTATTGTGAAATTGGCTACTCTATATGAGTGCTTTTGCTTTTTGTAATTATGTTTTATTTCTATTACTTTTATCCTTTTACCCAAGTTACATAATGCAGGACCTTTACTTGTAACTTCATATTTCTAAACCTTTGTAATACTTATTTAAAGTAAAAGATCAGGGTACTTCTTCTACCAGCTCTATACTGATGTCTTGTTCATCTTCCTCCCCAGAATGACTTTTCCTCCGCGGTGATGACCCACTCCGGCCTGTCCCTGGAAGAGCTGCGCATTGTGGAGGGTCAGGGCCAGAGTTCAGAGGCCACCACACCCTCAGAGGAGCTCAACAGAATCAATGACATGGGTAAGGCTGCCAGACTTTTTTCCTCTCCACTCGTAAATCTCCACCTCTCAGCCCGCAGGGAAACACTGGGCAGATGTTCCTGTTGAATGCAAAGGAGGGCTGCACATGTAGAGTCATGGAAATGAGACTCATGCAGTTTTTCATACTTTGTGAAGGAATGTCTTTACAAATCACATAAAGTGCGGAAAGTAGTCTGGTTGTATTGTGCAGATTACAAAGCACAGGTGCAGCATTTTCAATTAATCGGAGCTCAAGTCCTTCTCTAACTTTCCCCTGTTGCTTTCTCCAGATCTCAAGCTGGGTGGCATGGCTGACCCCAAGCTGAGCTGTGGTGAGGGTCTGGCGGGCCAGCTGGAGGTGGGCAGCATCTTTACCTTCCGAGTCACGGTGCTCCAGGCCAGCGGCGTCCCACCGGAGTACGCAGACATCTTCTGCCAGTTCAAGTGAGTCAACAATCCTCATAAATATGCTGTGTGTGAATACTAAATCCTAAAATCAAAGCTATACAGTTGAGAACAGCTTTGATGAGGGAGAAACTCATAAATAAGTATTATAATACTTAAATAAGATACGGTATTTTATCGCCCTGTAGGTTTGAAATGCATTTTATTAAAAAGATTGATAAGACATCTCTTTGAAACTGCTTTATCTTTAAAATATAAGGAACATATACCTTGCCAATAATGAATACAAAAACAATGAAGGCTTAATGCTGAAATATGTCTTTTGTGTGATAACAGAACACCCCATCTTGTTTATTAATAAAAGTGACATCCATTTATGTTTCTGTCCTTAGTTTCCTGCACCGTCATGATGAGGCTTTTTCCACTGAGCCTCTGAAGAACACCGGCAAAGGGGCTCCTCTGGGCTTTTACCACGTCCAGAACGTGAGCACACACACACACACACACACACACACACACACACACACACACACACACACACACACACACACACACACACACACTTTAGTTCAACAGCTCTATGTAACTGACTTTCATTTTAACAATACCTTTCTTTACTGTTGGAGCAGGTTTCTGTGGAGGTAACGGAGTCCTTCATCGAGTACATAAAGACCAAGCCCATCGTGTTCGAGGTGTTCGGCCACTACCAGCAGCACCCGCTGCACCTTCATGGCCAGGAGCTCATCAGGTTCGTGCAGTCAATAAAGACATTCTCAAGTCACAATGCTCTTTTCCTTGAGTGTTTTTCGTTTGTTGTACTAAACACAACACAGATTCCTCTTCAATTGTTTTCCCTTTATGCCCGGCAAACATAATACTAGAATACAACAGATACATTTTGTGAGAATGTTCCAATTGCTTTCTATATTAAGTAAGTGTACGTTTTTTTCCACAGTCCTCCAACACAGTCAAGGAAGTACTACCCTATTCCCATGCCTCTCTCTAGACCAGGTAAGGATTCTATTGTCATCTCATCCCATTCTGAAACAGCAATTTGTTCTGCACCTGCCATCCTCATTTCAGCACGTTTCTTCTGTTGGTCATGGTTCTGTCAGCATGCCTCATATTTTCTTCCCCTTTTCTTTCATTTCTCGCTTCCTCTGGATTTGTTGTTCTTATTTAATCACTCTCACACCATCCGTAATCCTCTTACCCAACTCCATCCTCCCACTCCCAAATCTCCTTATTCACATGTCCCCTCCAATCTTCCTCGCTATTCATAAAACATCTCACACTGACACCCCAGACCACGCCCGTAAGATAGAGTTAGTGCGCTACCTGATGAGTGGCTATATGAACGGCAAAGTGCTGGACCAGCTGTCTGAGCACGCCAACGCCCTGGCCTCCTCTGCTGTGGCCAGTCTGGAGGATGAGGCCGACCAGCTCTCTCATTTCATCTTCCTCCCCGTGCCCAATGACCCTGTGCTTATTGTGCCCAGGCACCATGGTTGGTACAGCAGACACTGTAGTAGCCAAGGCGTTAGATGTACCATTGTTGTAGAAATTAGCTCTGTTTCTCTCATGTGCTGTGTGACTGCAGGAAGTAGCTCCACAAAGCTCTGCAGTGGTGAGGTGTGCTCTGCTGCGCCTCGCTGCTGCAGGTCTGTTTAGAATAAATTAATCAGCCAAACTCTCCACTGTCATTTTCACAGCTAACACCTTCGGGTACATTATAAAACCAGTAAGCATAGAGGATCACCAACCTAGCATTCACAGCATAAACCCAGAGGCTTAAGCCTTTATTGGTTCAGCTGCTGTCCAATTACAGTACTTGTCAGGTGCTATAATGTTCTTTTTAACCATATTGAACACAAATAATTGTAGCCGTGTGCCTCAGAGATTAGCCCGTTTCAACAGGAACATAATCCTGACGTGTCAGACAGCAGGGTGTGGTGTAATCTGTGATTTAGCTCCTTATAGCATCTCAGTATGTCCAACTGTTGAGTTTAATGTAGGCTGATTGCTTAGGGCTCAGCAGTTTAATCTATAGAGTGTATATCTATCGCTTATTGTCATTCATCCCTTCTGCAAATGTGTGTTTGTGTGTGTCAGTTCCAGCCACCAAGTTGAACACCATCACCAAGTCCAACCTGGGTCAGTGTGTCAGCAAATATGACCTGCTGGTCTGGTTTGAGATCAGCGAGCTGGAGCCCACCGGAGAGTGAGTGTCTGCACATTCATCGTATATTCACATACAGAAAGAAAATAAAAAGCTATCAATTACTTTTGGTTCTTTATCTGGAAATTAAAGAAATAACATGATGTGAGGTCTACTGTAATTCCTAAAGTGCTCCACTAAAACATAAGAATATGTTTTTAAATGTCAGAACCTTCCCGTTCTACTCCATATGACGCATGACCACAAAAATCGTAAAAACCTGATATGACGGGTTCTTAAAATAGTGAGGTGCGAATTTTTAAGTGTCAGTATAGGTTAGAGAGTCTGTGGATATCATGGCTCTACTTAGGCATATTCCAGCAACATATGAACAATCAGTCAATATGATCACCATGAATTAAGATCTAGGAGCTTTGATAGCCTGTGTGCCCTTTTTCAAATGGTCGATATCTTCTTTCTTTTTTTAACGCAATTAATCAATTAGAATACCAGAGATATGTTATGTATGATCAGATTGAGTATTTCCTCGCTCTTTCCACAGGTACATCCCGGCTGTAGTGGATCACAGCGGAGGACTGCCATGCAACGGCACCTACCTGCTGCACCAGGTGCTGCATTTCTACAAATAGTACATTAATCACTCATTTTATAAAGTCAGATTTATTGCACACATTATTAACTTACAAAAGTAAAGCGAACAACATCCTAGTAAATACCATTTATTTTTTACAAGACACATTCCAAAGATTTATTTAACTGTCAATCAATCAAGCTAATCAACTATCTTTTTTTGTCACAAAAAACAGTAAATGGGGAAAATGCTTTAGCCAACATTAAAATCACCATACATCAACAGCATTAGCTATAAAGAAAGGATGAAAGACCAGTAGACGGAGGCCGAATGGATAAAAGAGAACAATAAAATGCAAACAACACACGTTACCACATACATGTCACATATAGCACATCACAATCACATAACAGGCACTAGGGGCAACATCCATGATCACAACATAACACACATGCCATATCCAACACAGACTAGTGTGTGCAGGTGTAGTTCTCAGTGAACCATTATAAAGTCAGATTTATTGCACACACTATTCACTTACAAAAGTAAAGTGAACAACATCCTAGTAAATACCATTTCTTTTTTACAAGACACATTCAGAAGTTGTATTGTGCTCTAGATGTCTATACTCCGATCCTAAGCTCCCGTTATGTGCGCTGCAGGGGATCCAGCGCAGGATCACGGTGACTCTCATCCATGAGAAGGGGAGCGAGCTCCACTGGAAGGACGTGCGTGAGCTGGTCGTGGGTGAGCAGGGTTCCTCAGAGGATAACTACTACTACCTTTCTACAGGAAACGGGCTGCAGAGACCCAAACACAGCTGTTTCACAGTAGAACAGAAAAAAACAGGATGTTGCTACATGATTGTTTCCTCATTCACAAAGTCAGTGACAACTTGCTGCAGCACCTTGTATCGTCTCAAAGGAAGCTTGCTTTGTGAGGCTGCACTAAAAGAAAATCCTCAGTTATATTTCCAGTTATGGGATTTGTTTCAGTTTCCCCTCAGGTTGCCACTTTTTTAAAGTAGTTTATACTCTCGCCGATGGACGAAAATAACTACATTTCACATTTTATACTCTGAGAAGCTGACATTTGTATCCAGAGAGACTCATAAGTAAGCAGGCATGTGTGCTGCTTTCAACCCATTTGTGCTCACACCTAAACATTTAATTTATATGGAAGTGTTCTCTGACGTTTACAATGTAAATGTTTTCCTCATTTTCAAATAATCTAGACTTTCACTATTGATAAAAGAGGAATTTCTGATTTCCTGTATTCTTCCTTTGTATTTCCAGGCAAGATGTTGATGAGTTGTGCTGCTCTGTGTCCATCAGGTCGTATCAGGAGCAAGGCTGAGGTGGACGACAGCGCTGCTGATGCTGTCCTGTCCCTCAACATTATCTCTGCCAAAAACATCAAGTCATCTCACAACTCCAACAGGTATCTGAGATTCACTCAAATTGTACAAACATGACACGTTTTAAACCCATCATATTTTTTAGGTACTACTGTAAGTACAGGTTTGATGCACAATTATTAATCCAAGCCAAACCTGAATAACATTTTTATATTGTTTTAAATCCAGAACATCTCAGCTCAGTTATCTTGTCGTGATCATGCGGTTGTTGATTTATTTATCCTTAAAAAGCAGTTAAGAAACAACATTTGTGTATGTGTTGTTGTCTTTATATTTGCTGAAGGCTTGGAGGAATCATTGCATGACCATTTCCATTTTCACTGCTGTTAATTTTCCTGTTAATTTGCTCCATTGTCTCTGTTTGCCTGACTCTCTTTTTGTCTGTGCACTCTCTCTCTCCTCCTCCTGCTGCGGCTGGACTCTTGATTGTGCTCAGGCTTTCTATTGATAAGGATATTGATAGGTACCAGTGAGCGGAGAACATAAGGCTCCTTCTGTGAAAGACCCTTATGCTTCTCTTTAGCCCTATAGATTCATAGAAATAAGTTCTCCACAGTCTGTGTTTTTTTGTTAGCATTTTTGCATTAGGTCTGCCTTTATTCCAATGCATATATAGGATCTGAATAAAGAAATCAAATTGTAAATCATTTATGGAAATAAAGGCAAGCTTACATGCAAATGCAAAACCCTTTTTGTGTTAGTTTGTATCATGTTATGTTGGTCTGCTGTTGCACCCAGATTCCAAATGAAGGTTTTTCTCTCAGCTGTTATTCACTGTTTGAGCCATAGCTCAATAACAACCAAGCCCATTGAGGCTCCAACAGGGCAGGCTGGCTCTCAGTCAGTAGGGCACAGCGCCCCCTGCTTTCAAATACAGGAAATGTGTCAATCCTAAAAGAGTCTTAAAGGTCCCCTATCATGCAAAATGCACTTTTTAATGTCCTTTTATACATAAATGTGTGTCCCCGGTGTGTCACGGAACTCACAGTGTGTCAGAGAACAAAACCCTCTCTCTTTTCTCACCCATAATATATGCCTAAAAATAGCATGAAAGGAGATCTTTAAAACAGTAATTTCTGTTAAACATTGTGCAAATAATTACAGTAAATGTATGTATTCAGTTTAGTTTTTAAACTGTGAATGCTCTAACAGTCTTCACATTGATACAATGAGGTAT